CGATTCGGAGATGTTGTCTCCCTCGCTTGGTAAGCAGGAAGTCGATGCCAGTTGTATTGTTTGTTGTCGGCGTGTGCTCTCTCCCCGTGGTGGTCGCGTGGATTTTTCTCCGGGTCCTCCGGTTTTGCACCTCCACATTTGGAAACATGCTTTTTACATTAAGTTGGCGGTTGCTATACATGTCGAAGTGTGACAATGATTATGACGGTACAGCTACTACGACGATGGGCTATCACGTGTGGCCAGGTCGCCCCAGGGAAAGAGCAGATAGCTCAGTAGGCTTTACCTGGTTAATTTAGGTTTACCCCAGCACACGGGAACGGCACTGCAGCTGTGGCGAATTCAGTAATACTTCTTGGTGCAACAACAACGGCGGCATGTTATTGTATGCGCGTTGAACCGCTTTCATGTAGTGCGTGGATATATCGAAAGTACAACTTTAACCACATCATGATGTGGTTGTTCACTCCTAGCTCTCAACGTCCTGATAGTGGCATTGTCTTTGCGCTGTTCGCCTTTTGGCGTCCTCTGGTCTCACACTGTTTGAGACTAGGCTCTAAAGAAAGCTGTCTCTGGTGTGGACCAATAAGTTTCAAAGACAATGCATCATCATATACTACCAAAGCATGTTTTTTGTTTGCATGTTTACCACAGGTATATGTGGTTAATACAGACACGATTCCTTGCAAAAGGTTTCAGTTTGGTGTTTCAACATCTTAACACAAACTGTTTTATTGCCAGAGAGGGTAAACACCTTATTCTTATAACTTTAACCACGTTACGTTTACTTATCCCGAGAGCGTATCACCGAGTGTCAAGAACTCTTTTCGTGAGAGCCATGCCACTCCATTGGGATGTTTGGCCAAACCCCCTTCTTTTGTAACCGTAACCCAAGTCGGATCGAAGGCGTGCGTGCCATCCGCGCTCTTCCTCGTCCGCTTCGTCGCAGGTGGCACAACGCCTCTCGCCGAGACGATGCAAGACGTTGGAACCCCCGAATACACAAAGCTGTGCTGCTCTTGCGGAAGGACTCCGTTTAAAATGAGCCCAATGTGGTGAAAGGAATATCCGAATCTTAGGAGACACGACGACGACAAATCATGGGAGACACGACAACACGAAAGAAGGTGCGCATACATCAAGTTCCACGTCGATTTATGTTGAACCTGGTGAGAATTGAAGAGTGACCACGCAGGATTGATGCTCTCAACTTGCAGCTTCGACCTGAATACACAGTCGCATGTTGCCCTGGCAGCTGACGCATGTCTTCTTGTAACCGGCAACCGACTACCGACGATTTACTGCGCGCCAGAGCGCCGTGGAAGCTGGCAGAGGGCTGCACGGGTCCTTGAGAGGTGGCAACCCCATTCACAGCAGGAGGCATTGCGACTCTCAAGGGCAGGGAGGGAGGGAGGAGGTGCGCTAAGCAGCGACGGAGAGGGCGCGAGAAGCGGCGTAGCCGTGTCTGGTGGGGCAAGGAGATGCGGGGGCCTGGAATACATTGGCCTAAGGCAGGGGTGGGGAACCTTTTTTCTGCCAAGGGCCATTTGGATATTTATAACATCATTCCCGGGCCATACAAAATTATCAACTTAAAAATTAGCCTGTTATATTTGGTCAAATATTTAATTAACTCACCCCTAATGTGATGGCTGGAACTGCTTCTCTTTGGTGAGGCGTGTGATGATGTTAGCTGGTATTGACGATGTTGCTACTCGCAACTGCTTTTCCAGATTTGCTCCTAGATTTATCGAATTTCGAGTCCCGCCTGCGGTTGCATTGGCAGGTCCAGCAGACCAAATGATTTCGCGGGCCTTATACGGCCCGCGGGCTGGATGTTCCCGACCCCTGGCCCAAGTAGACAAGAGGAGGATGTTCAGGAGGTGGTGGTGGTGATTGATTAAAAACAAAACAGCGATGGGGTGTTAGCAGATGGCGAGGTTGGGTGCGCAATGCGCCGTTGCGTAGGAGACCGGGAGATCGATGATTGATGTTCGGTCACCGCGTTGATGGTATTCGTCCGTAATTTCTCACATGACAGTGGGGGGTGGGGGAAGCGTGATGGCTGCTGTCATCTTCCACTCCAAGTGTGCAGTGGCCACGAACGAGAGTTTGGTGGGGGTGGGGGGGGGGGGGGTGTGATGAGATTTCGAGTGTACCATCGATTCCAATGGTGACTGGTAGGTGGTCGAGATGGAATGATATCGATCGTCAACATGCGTGCGGAATTCACCATGCGCGAGCGATGACAGGGGAGGCCGCTAAGGAGGTCGAGGTGAGATGGTGCCGAGGCAGACAAGACACGGAGTTTGGATTTGCCTTAGGTGGACGGTAGGTGGCTGTTTGAGGTTGGGAGGGCGGTGGAAGGTGGCAGGATGAGAGACGCTGAAGAGGTCAGAGGATGCAAGGTCCGGCTTAAGAGATTAAGCACGTTTACTCCCACCTACCCCCTCGGAGACGTCTAGACAGACGACGGAAGAAGCAGGCTACGTACCCTGACGCGCTCCTCACGAGCAACTCCGTAGCGAAGGCCCTGCCACCAACGGTGTCGTGAGCGGGCAGTTGCAGGACTGCGCCGTGACGGGGGGAGGCGTGGCTGAGGGGTTGTTTGTGGAGAGCCGACGGCAATTCCACCCGGCTCTGCCGGAGCAGCGGCACGCCTGGAGGACTGCGACCCTCGAAGGAATGGTGGAGCCCCCGTGGTCGCCCTCACCTCCCCGGCCCCCCGCCCCCCCCCCCCCCCCCCCAAGGCGAGTGGAGCTCCACAGGGCGGGTGGAGCTCCACAGGGCGGGTGGAGCTCCACAGGGCGAGTGGAGCTCCACAGGGCGAGTGGAGCTCCACAGGGCGAGTGGAGCTCCACAGGGCGAGTGGAGCTCCACAGGGCGAGTGGAGCTCCACAGGGCGAGTGGAGCTCCACAGGGCGAGTGGAGCTCCACAGGGCGAGTGGAGCTCCACAGGGCGAGTGGAGCTCCACAGGGCGAGTGGAGCTCCACAGGGCGAGTGGAGCTCCACAGGGCGAGTGGAGCTCCACAGGGCGAGTGGAGCTCCACAGGGCGAGTGGAGCTCCACAGGGCGAGTGGAGCTCCACAGGGCGAGTGGAGCTCCACAGGGCGAGTGGAGCTCTGTGGGCCGGAGCTGATGGGTACCACTTGAGGTGGCGAGACGTCTCCCCCGCCCATTGTTTTTAACGCAACAATGCACGCACACAACTGCGGGACGCCCATCGCTTCTATAGTTAATATTTATTGATTTCCAAAAAACAAAAAAACAGAAATCCTAAAGCAAGAGTCGCAGCAACTTTCACAAGCAACTTTAAATGAACAAAGTTACATTCCGATCTATTCGAGGCCATGGTGAAGCAGTTTCAATATGTACAAAACACCAACGATGTCCAGTGGCAGAGTGGGGTGGGGGGGGTAGTGCCACTGGCGAATATGTACGACTATCCAACCGAGACCGACCAGTGAAAGTTTACTTTGCGACAACACGGGTGCAATAAGAACTCCCTAATTATAACCGTGAGTTTTTTTTTGTTTGTTGCGAGAGATGAAACGTAACCTACTTACTGTACTACGTAGTTTTTTTTTAGGCTTAGTTAACATGAAATACACAAATTCTACATAGACCGCCCCCCCCTCCCCTCCCACCAGCCCAACCGCCCCCCCCCGCGCGCCCTCCCCCCCCCCCCCCCCCCCGCGTCCCCCCCCCCCCAAAAAAAAAAGGTGCTAGCCTCGGCAAGAGCCTGCGATGTGCTTCCTTTTTTAAAATCCTTTATTTGTTTAAAAGCGTCGCGGCGAGGGGAATCACAACCAGCTCGCGGTCGTGAAGACACCGGCCGCGTCACCGCATCGCCTCAGCTGCCCCCCCCCTCCGCCCGCTCCTAACCCCCCTAACCCCCCTAACCCACCCCGCACAAAAAATACCACGACCGCCCCCCCCCCCCCGACTTCGTCACCCCCCCCCCCTCCGCCCCTTCCCAAAGTCGTCGTCGTCTTCTCAAATCGGCAATGATTCACATTATAACGCGGCAAAGCCTAAAACGACGTCTCTGCGAGTCTCGGTTTCAGTCTCACGATGCCCGTAACCCCTAAAAACCTGCCGCGGGAGCAAACCGATGTGCAAACGCCATGACCCACGAACGCCTCCCCCCACCCCCGCCCCCGCCCCCGCCCCCATCATCCTCATCGTCATTCCTCCTCCTTTCCCCTCCTCATCCGAGCTCCCACCAGATCTCTTCCGTCCATACCAACCCACCCACCTCGGAACAAAACGCGATCACACAACCACCTCGAGTATGATACACCGGTGTGTGTGTGTGGTGGTGGGGGGGGTCTCGTAAATGTTACGTCGCGCACACGACACACACGTCTTATCAAAAGGGGGTTCAAAATGTTACGCGAGGCGGTCATCTTCCAGCACCCCCCACCACCACCTCTCTCACGGCTCCTCTCTCGCTCTGCACCCCCCCCCCCCCGCTCGCTCTAAAAAAGCCCCCCCCCGCTTTTTTTCAAAGCGGCCCCCCACACCTCCACCACCCCCACACCACGTGACGTGTTCTCTACCCCTCCCCCCTCCTACCGTAAACAGTCTCGACACGATGCCCCCCCCCCACCACTAACACGGGACCAGAGGAACTTGGGGGGGGGGGGCACTGAGGCCCGCGACGCGCGCACACAGAGAGATAGACAGACAGAAGAATACCCGACAGCTGTGGGGGGACCATAGTGTGAGTGTGTGTGGCGTGGTTTGTCGTTACATTTTCTTGTTTTTCCTCTGACGCACGCAAGAAAATGAACCCCCCTCCCTTTCCGCCTAATACCCCCCCCCCATACGTACACGCAACATTCTGTATATAAAAGTATGCAAATCGTATGCAAAAATCGGTAATACTGACAACGCGATGATCAAGGTATACCCATTGCAGACTGCGGGGGTGGTGGGACGAGGTGGGGGGGGGGGGAGTGACAGGTGGGCCTGGCTACCTTTTTCTTTTAATCACTTTTTTTTGGGGAGGGGGGCGGAGGAGGAGGAGGACACGAGAAGAGGAACAAAAAATAAACGGGGAAAAGAAGCGACCGCACATCCCTGGAAAGTCTCTCGAACCCCAGAACGCCGGCCATGGCACCGTGCCGGGAAGGAGAGGTAAAGGGGGGAGCCTTAGCGCCCCCCTCCCCCTCTCACCACTCCCCCTCCCCCTCGTCGTCGTCGTGGCTGCCGTCACCGCTGCCGTCAGCGATGCCACCGCCGCCGACGCTCTCTACTCGGCCTCGGGGGCCGCAGCTTCCGCCCCTTGGGCCGCGCTGGGGGCGGCCTCCGCCTCCTCGCTCTTCTCCTCCTCCGCTTTGCTCGGCGCCGTGGCGGCCGGCGGCGCGGCCGCCACGGCGGCTTCTCCCGTCGTCTTGGCCGGAGCGGCGGCAGCGGCGGCGGCCTCCTTGGCCTCGCTGGCATCCCCCCCCGCCGCCGCCGCCGCCGCGCCGGCCTCCGCAGCCGCCGGCTCCTCCTTGGCCTCGTCGCCAGGCTTGGCCACGGCTGCCGCCGCCGCCTCTTGTCCCTTGCCGCTCTCTGCCGCGTCGGGGGCGGCAGCAGCGGCCGCCGCCTCCTGAGCACCTCCTGCCTCCTCCTTGGCCTCCGCCGGCTTCGGCTCGGCCTCCTTGGCCGGCGTCTTCTCAGCCGCCGCCGTGGCGGCGGCCGCCCCCTCCCCCTCCTCCTTCTCCTCGCCGCTCTTCTTGCCCTCGGCCGGCGCGGCGGCGGCCTCCTCCTTGGCCCCCTCGGCCCCTTCGGCCCCTCCCTCCTTGGCGGCGGCCGCCTTGGCGTCGCCCCCCTCGGCGCTCTCCTCCTTGGGCTTCTTCTTGAAGGAGATGCCGCTCAGCTTGAAGGACTTCTTGAAGGAGAAGCGTTTCTTCTTCTTCTTGTTGGGCGTCTCGCCGGACGAGCCCGGGGTGGCCGCGTCGTCCGACTTGGGGGAGGCGACCGCCGAGGCCGGGGACGCGGCCGCTGCGGCCCCCGCGGCGCCCTCGGCCTGCGCCGGGGCGGCCGCGGCGGCGGAGGCTTCAACGGCATCGCCGTTGGAGTCCGGTGCTTTGGCGTCGTCGGTGGCCGCGGGGGCGGCGGCCGCCCCTCCGGCGCCGCCCTCCTCCTCCTTCTCCTCCACCTCCTCCTTGTCGGCGGCCGCGACCGTGGCACTGCCGTTGGCCTGCACGTCGGCCTTGGCGTCGCCGGCTCCGGGGGACGCGTCGCCGTTCACCTTGGCGTGGTCGCCGTCCTGCGTCGGCCACGCACGCACACAGACGGACGACAGACGGGTGACGCACAGAGACAAAGATCCCCCCCCCCCCGTATTGCCTTGACAGACTGTTGGGGGGGCAAGTGTTGTTGTTAGCGAGCACCTATGAAGCGCGGCATTCCTCACACGAGGGGGGGGGGTGGGTGGCCCACACCACGGTTCAGATAACCGTCATTGCGGTTGGTCGCGAGCGGGAATCAGACTCGGTCCGTTAACCGCGACACTACGCACGCAGACAGACCACTCGTGTGGCGTGTCTGCGCTTGCTTTGCTCACTGGACAACTCCGTGCGGTGAGGTGCGAGATCTCGGTACATCTTCCAAGACATCTGCTTAGCGTCGACGACCAGGCCAAACATCCCCCACCACCTCCCCATCCGCCACCGAGAGGATCCTAGAGCTCCCCCTCTAGACGGGTTCCCTTCCGCCAGTAGCGGTGCGAGTTCACAATCGCGGGGTTGCACCTCTGCCACCTTTGGTCACTTGTCAATCCGCTGCCAGATGAGAGCCCCTCCACCCCCATGCCGCGTCGGCCGTGGGCGCCGTTTGACCATACTTCACCATCCCGGGGTGGGGGGAGGGGGGTGTGCCGGGTGGTCTGTTTGCCCTGCACGTGGAGGAGGCTGCCACGTCTCTGTGGCTACGTGAGCCGACGTCGATACCCCACAAGATATAATATTGACAAACACGTGCAGTGATTTACTGATCGCGCGTACCCGGCGCTCTTGCTGTAAGACGGTTCCACGTGCTATAAAAGCGTGATCTTAATTACCCCCCCCGCCCCGCCCGCCGCCAAGAGTCACAGCGGCGGTTTCGTGCTGGGCTCGCGGGCTCTGACGTCGCTCGTGCCGTTGTCGGCCGTGGCCGGGAATCGAACGTGAGCTCGCCGTGTCTGTGTGTGTGGGGGGGGTCATCGTGCTCGGGTGGTGGAGCGCACGCGCCACTGCACCACCGCTACCCTTGCGTGGCCCTCCAGCCAAGCGACGACACGAATTGTCGCGTTTCGGTTTCGCGAACTCGATTTGAAGAATTGCTTCCCTTTAAAAAATATATATATATAATTCAGTCTGCCACGAGTTGTTTACCGGTTACGCCGCGGTGGCAAGATGTGAACTCCCTGGACTAGTACGCAGGAGGTCGTGGGTTTGATCGCGACCCTGACGCCTGCTGTATATTTGGAGTTTGTGTGCGTCTCTCCCCGGTTTTTCCCCCTCCACATTTAGAATCAACATGCATTTTTACAGAATTTGGCTGCTATAGATTTCCACATAAGCCACTTCCATTGAGCTATTATTTGTGGCCACGTTGTTTCTGAAAAAGAGCTATATAGCTCAGTGGGGCCCTATCTGGAAAAAAAAAAGTTAAGTTTTTTTAGCTTAGTACTATTGTGGGCATCATTTAGTGAAGTTTTTGTTCACTCCGCGAATCGACACGCAAAGTAAAGACGCGCAGCACCGCGTAACCCCATAGACCGTTTGTCACGCGCCATTCGATGCACCGATTGTAATCGGCGGCGTCTGCCACCCTCGCTATCTGCCAACGGCCGTCGAGGCAAGCTGCTTCATTTTCGTTCGTCCGGGCGAGAAAAATTAAACGAGAGAAGCAGGATGCGGCTTGCTTCTCTCGTTTGCAAGAGTGGGCTGGCTGACCAAAATGGCTAAAAGCTAAAGGCAAAGTAACAAAAAAAACGGCACAAAAGAACAACCTTGTCACACATTGGGTTGGCACGCATTACAATTATGGCTGTCGCCTGATAAGGCTGGTTATAACTACGAGCGATGCACCACTGTGCTGAACTGCTAACTAACTGGCACGTTTAGCTTACGTGACAAACCTGACCAATGTGGCTGTGTCGGGTGTTTGGGCGGTTTAACGACGCAATTAGACATTTACGCGATCTAACCCCCCCAAAAAACCTCTGTTAAATGGATAATATTGGTCGTGAAAGCCTTCTACGTGTTAAGCTGATCGTGGCCGTGTTCGGTCAGCACCATCGCTTAGCCACCTTTGTCTCCCCGGTGTCGACACTTATCAAAAATATCAAGTACGGTCCTCGTGTTTACGGTTGATTCTCTGTGTGATTCTCTCCACTGGTTGTTAGCCGTGGCTGGGAATCAAACTTACGTTATAGTTGGGATTGTAGCACGCTACACGGAACCACTCACTGAACATCACTGTCCCAAAGCACACACACAGAGGCACACGTGAATCAGGGCCTGACAGCAGCAGTAGCACTGCGGTGTGCATTAGTCAAGGGCGCCTTCATACAACGTACGCAAGGTGGATTCCACGTGCAGTCTAACGGAGCACGGGACGGGGGGGAGAGAAGAGCACCTTTAATAATCGTTGGGAAGAGATTTTATTTTCTTTAACGAGAGAATGTAACGTTCGAGGGAGCGAGAGGTTTCAAAACGTGGGAGCGCAGAGGGAAATAAACGTGGAAATTAGAAGACGTTTGGGGTAAACTTTAAACGAGGAGAGAATTCAGCCGACACGCGGCGCTGTGAAGAGCAAAGTCGGAGACTTGAGCGATGGCGGAGTCGACAAGAGGAGGAAGATCCAGGTGCCAAGCAACGCCCAGACGTCGGGGGCAGCTGGATCAGAGGTCCACGGGGATAGTGGACGCCAGGGTGGCTAGGAGACGCTAACTACCTCGCCCGGTATGCAGGTGGCCGCGGGTTCGATCCCGACCCCTGACCCCTGCTCTCTATTTTTTTTGCATGTTCTCCCCTTGTCTGGTAACATATAGAAACCAAAATAGTTTTTAGATGGGGGGGGGGGGGAGGGGGGGCGTCGGGGGGGGTGGCGCACCACGGGGGGAAGTGGGAAGCAGGGAGGGGAGTCCAGCGAGCAGATCGCAATCGACGGCCGTGAGGCTGCTCCCGTAGCGATGCGACATGGCAGAGCGCACGCCGCTCACTCGCTCCCTCCGTGTGAACGAACATTCGAATGTCCCCCCCCCCCCCACCCTTGTTACTCCACTAAACTGTTTGAATTTTTATTTTACCAGGTAAGGCCCACTAAGCTGTATAGGTCTTTTTTCAGAAGCGACCTGGCCACAAATGACAGCTCAACGGAGTGGATTGTCGCGTGGAAATCTAGAGCGGACCGAATACTCTCTAAACGCACGTTGAGATTCTGAATGGAGGGGAAAACCGGAGGAGCCAGTGAAAAATCCACGCGACCATGTGGAGTGAAAGAGACACCGCAAAATCCCACAACTTCAACCTCCTGTACAGCGGGCGAGGTAGTTAACATCTCAACACCGTGGCGCCCCTCTGCTGGATGGTCAGGGGGGTTGACTTGATCATACTTCCTTGTGCTGGTCGGAGCAGGTTGGCGAAGTTGAGTAGGGTGGGGTGTGGGGGAGGGAACTACCAGGACCTTATTAGATGTCACTTTCCACCGATGCATTTATGTATTTTGAACTCATTTTCGCACCGTACGTAGTAAGCCAATCGTCCTTATCGCACCGCGTTAGCCGCGGCCGAGAATCGAACTCAGGCTGGCCAAGAGAAATTACACGAGTAGAAATCTACACTTCTCATTGGCTATGTAGACAACGTCACTTATCTATTTACTTCACGACGAACGGGAATCGAGGGCTCCTAACACCAGCGCGACCAACTGCGCGAAATCAATCGGAACCAGAATGTGAATTTCGACTGGAGGAATCCGATGAGCTACAGATGTCCAGCATGGGCGGGGGGTCAGCGATTTAAAACGAACGAACAGGGAGCTGCTTTGGCAGTGACGTAGCAGGGATGGTTTCCTCCTCTACAAACACCACACGCACACAGACATCATATTATATTACCAGGAAAGGCCCACTGGGCAATGTAGCTTTTTCAGAAGCGACCTGGCCACAAATGATAGCTCAACGAAGTGGTTTATCACGTGGACGTTTAAAGCAGCCAAACACTCTAAAACGCGTGGTGTTGATTCTAAATGTGGAGGGTGAAACACGGCGAGAACACGCAAACTCCAAATATACAGCACGCGTCAAGGCCGGGATCGAACCCGCGACCTCCTGTATACCAGGTGAGGGAGATAACATCTCGCACACCGCGGCGCTCTAATGCAACGGTGATCATTGTCCCCTTTTGCATATCCAGGAAAGCCTCGCCAAGTCTCAAGACTCGTCGTCAGAAGGGTCTTGCCACATTGTGATGTTTGACTGCCACACTTATGTTTGACCCATGTTTGTGGCTTCGGCCAGAAACGAACTGCAACAGCCTGGAGGGCGACGTGGGGGGGGGGGGGGGGATAACCTACGAAGAAACCTACGAGTGGAAAATTCCCCAAGCGCCACAAAGATGGATACACGAATCCATCAATTTACTGTCATCTCCTGCCACACTTCGAATGTATATGCGAATTGTATTATTATTAACATTCAATCGAATCCAAGCGCATTTATTAAAATAAATGCACTATGCAAAAAAAATGTGTTTGTGTCTTGACCTGATTTAAAAATAATTCTACTTCATTCCATCAATTTCCCAAAAACCTGCGCCCCACAAGGGAGGTGGGCTGTCGATGCGCATCACTGTCCATGGTGGCTAGAAACTAAGTGGCATTGCCAGAGCCATGGAGCAGAGCGGCTCCGCACGTCACACCACGTTCACCTCAACAGCTCTGCGCGTCAGCCACAGGGCGATGGACATAATGATGGTGGTGGTGGGTAATGCGTTATTGACCCAATGGGAACGCCAGGCGTCGCAAAGCCATCATAATTGTCGCGCCGTAGGCCTAGTGCTGCGAGTTGGCCAGGACTTTGGCAGCGCAGCACTGGATTATTGAATCAATCCGTGGAGAATTTGTTAGTTCTGAAAAACGGGCGACCCGAGTTTCGATTGTTGGCCACGGCTAGCCGAGTTTTGCGAGCGACGCGCCAACCGGTCGGTCCTTGGGGGTCGCCAATGTCATGCCCTCGTCTCCACGCCCGCACTGACCGGCGTGGTGAAGTATGGTAAAATA